GTTCCCTTTGCTTCCTACTATATGTTTCTTCATCGATTGTGCTTGCGCTTGTGTTATTTAAATATGGCCATTTCCTCAAACAATATAAGTTCCTCATCTGCTCCAGATCAATAAACAGATTAGAAAAAAAAAAACATCTGACAATGTCAAATTGAATGGAAGAGAATTCTTGATGTTATTAGGCTCTAAGGCCAAAGTATTTATACATGAGTTTGAGCTTATCTAATGAGGAAATATAGCAATTTTGGAATTATCAACTTAAGGAAAATAAACTTATTCTAATACTCCCCCTCAAGTTGGAGCGTGGAGATTAAAAACGCCCAACTTGTCCAAGAAAGCGTCAAATTCCTTGCGGCCGAGAGCTTTAGTAAGAATGTCCGCTAGCTGATCGTAGGTAGAAACATGAACAGGTCGAACAACACCCTTGACAATTTCATCACGCACAAAATGTAGATCAATTTCAATGTGTTTGGTGCGTTCATGAAAAACGGGATTAGAACTAATATGAATTGCAGCCTTGCTATCACATTTAATAGTCATAGGTCCTTGATGAGGTAGATCAAATTCCTTGAGTATAGAACGAAACCATAGAAGCTCTTGTGTGATGGCTGCCATGGCACGATATTCTGCTTCAGCAGAAGAACGAGAAACAGTGTCTTGCTTCTTTGTTTTCCATGAAATGGGAGAGGCTCCAAGTTGCACTATCCAGCCTGTAACAGAACGACGAGATAAACGACATGAACCCCAGTCCGAATCACACCAGCCGGTTACATGAAGAGAAGACGTCGCGTCGAGCAAAATTCCTTGACCCAACGTCCCTTTTAAATAGCGGACCACTTTGAGAGCTGCAGACCAATGGTCTTCACGAGGTGAATGCATATGTCGTGAAAGAATGTGAACAGCATAAGTCAGATCAGGTCGAGTGTCAATCAAATAAATTAACCGGCCAACAAGACGGCGATATGATTCTGGTTCGGGAAGAAGCGGGCTAGTAGAAAGACTGAGTTGGTGATTTTGATCCATAGGAGAGCCTGCAGGTTGACAACCAAGAAGACCTGCTTCTGCAACAATTTCACTAGCATACTTCCTTTGACAGAGATAGAACCCGGAAGAATTTCTAGCTACCTCTAATCCAAGAAAATATTTGAGAGCACCAAGATCTTTCATGTGGAAACACGTTGAAAGATAAGTCTTGAAAGTAGCAAGAGCCGTAGATGAGTTACAAGATATAATGAGATCGTCGACATAAACCAAGATTCGGAGAATGACATCATCTTTCTTGTAAACAAAAAAAGAATAATCAGACTTAGCTTGACGAAACCCATACGTTCGAAGTGAATCAGCAAGCTTCGAAAACCAACATCTTGGAGCTTGCTTTAGACCATAGAGAGACTTCCGTAGACGACAAACACGATGATCACCAGACTTAGAAAAACCGGGAGGAAGTTTCATATAAATTTCTTCTTGAAGATCACCGTGGAGAAACGCGTTGTGAACATCCATTTGGTGAACTTCATGATTTTGTTTAGCAGCAATATCAAGAAAGAGACGAACCGTTGTCATTTTAGCAACAGGAGCAAATGTGTCGTTATAATCAAGACCTTCTTTCTGATTGTTTCCAAGAGCAACAAGCCGCGCTTTGTATCTTTCAAGAGTACCGTCAGACTTTTGTTTGATCCGATACACCCATTTACAACCTAAAACTTTCTTCCCAGGAGGTAGCTCTTCCAATGTCCATGTTTTGTTCAGCTCTAAAGCTTGAATTTCAAAACGCATAGCCTCTTTCCATTCTTCCATCTCCATAGCATCTTTAAACGTTGTTGGCTCAATAGCAGCCATTAGAGCAACAAGATAACATATATGACTTTGTGAAAAACGATCATAAGAGTCATAGAGTGAAATAGGATAAACCGTACCTGAGGAATGCTGTGGCTGAGATGCAGGTGAAGAGAGAGAGGGAGGAGCGAGAGAGACGTTACCGACGATGTAGTCGTTAAGGTATGGAGGACGATTTTTTGGTCGTTGTCCAAGACCAAGTGGAGGAGGAGCAGGAGCAGTAGGCGAAGGTGGTGATGGAGTTAGGGTCGGAGTAGGAGACGGACTCGGAGATGGATTCGTAGGCGGTGAATTTTCAGAATCTGAGTTATCCGGTGTTTGTGTAGCTTGTGGTGATAAAATCGGTGATGAAACAGAAGAAGATTCCTCTGTAATATCATTATCCTCAACATGATTTGATGGAGCTGTAGGCAAAATAGGAGAAGACGCAGGTAATGATGGCTGTTGGAGATAAGGAAATTCTGTCTCACAAAAACGAACGTCGCGAGAAACAAAAAATTTTTCTTGTTCAAGATCATAAAGCTTCCATCCCTTTTTACCATAAGGATAACCTAGAAACACACAACGCCTACTCCGAGATTCAAATTTGTCGCCTTTTGTGTGCGGATTATATGCATAAGCAAGGCACCCAAAAATTCTAAGATGTTGATAAGATGGCGATCGACCATATAACTTTTCAAATGGAGTTTTGTTTTGAAGAAGAGCTGAGGGTGTGCGGTTGATGAGATACGAAGCAGTGAGGACGCATTCTCCCCAAAACTCAATAGGGAGATGAGCTTGAAAACGCAAAGCACGGGCAACATTTAGAATGTGACGATGCTTGCGTTCAACGCGTCCATTCTGCTGCGGAGTATGAACACAAGACGTCTCATGTATTATTCCTCGAGTTTGAAAATATCGTGTAAGTGCAAGAAACTCTGTCCCATTATCTGACCGAACCGTTTTAATCATCGTGGAGAATTGATTTTCAATGAGAGCAAAAAATTCTTGTAAGGTGCGAGAGACTTGCGACTTATCAGGGAGAAGATAAAGCCATACTGCTCTTGAATAATCATCAATAAGGGTGAGGAAATAACGATTTCCACAAAACGCAGTGGTACGATATGGACCCCATAAATCGCAATGAATCAAATCAAAAGCATTCTTTGCATTAGAAGAACTTTCTGGAAAAGACAATCGAGTTTGTTTAGCTTGAAAGCAAATATCACAACTGGAAGCAAGAAAATCCCTACTAAGCTTAGATAAAGTTTGGACGTCGGGAAGTAAACCGGTGACTTGAACTGATGGATGACCGAGACGTTTGTGCCAAAGAACCGCGTTTGTATCCACGTTAGTCTGACATGCGACAACATCATCAACATTGAAAAACCGGTACAGCCCCTCTCCCTCTCTTTCACCTGCGCCAATCAGCATCCTCGAAGTGCGGTCCTGTAAAATCAATAGACGCTCAGTAAGTTGACCAACTAAGTGATTGTCAGACACTAGTTGACCAAGTGAGATTAAATTGGAGTGAAATCCTTCAACAAAGTAAACATTAAGGAGAGAGAGACGGGGAGTGAGCCAAATAGTCCCTTGTTTTGTTGCATAAGCATTAGCTCCAGCAGGGAGAAGAACTGAGATCGGAGGTATGTCTTTCATGTCGACCATTAAGTCAAAACGACCCGACATATGGTGCGTTGCACCTGTATCCAAAATCCAAGAGGGAGTGGAAGACATACCATTGAGAGGTGTTGTTGAACACGTACCCACAATCTCCTTAATACGTTTCCATTGATCATCTGTGAGGTCAGTGAGACCTAACCGGTCGGCATCTGTGAGTGGAGAAGTCTGTTGTGGAGTGACGGAGTTTGCAGCAACAATACTTGTACTGTTAGCACGATAAGAAGATGATGTTCCTCTTCCACGACCAGCAGAAGATGGAAAAGAGGACCGAGAAAGAGGTTTAGAGCGAGGCCGATCGCCCCACCATTCCGGATATCCAACGACCTTGAAACATGCGCTAGCTTCATGACCTGTGCGTCCACAAGCAGTGCAATGTCGATTTGGATCTTTGTTACCAGGTACAAACGAGGGATCAAACTTGTTGACTGGAGCAGGAGATCGTGAACCAGAGAAGCTTTGTGCGACAAAACTCATCACGTTAGTTTCTTTTGTTGAGTTGGAGATAGTGTTGGTGTGAAGAGTCTCGTTTTGCACAAGTGTCTGGTAAACGCTATCAAGATCAGGAAGAGGAGTCATAGCGCATAGTTGAGAACGGATAGCTCCATGGACAGAATCATCAAGACCGGCCAGAAAGTCATGAACCCGTTGAGTATCTTGTTCCATATCTTGCGCAGAGGTGAGATCACATTCGCACTTACCGCATGTACACCGTTTGATTGGTGTGCACTCGGCGATGCTGTCCCAAATTTTGGTTAAGCGACCAAAATAATCATCAATGGTGGATCCGTTTTGCTTACATGACGCAAGGGCGTTCCGAAGCTGTTGACGGCGAGCACCACTCTTTAATGAGAAACGCTTCTTAATGATGTCCCAAAGATCCTTGGCCACTTCACGGTTGGAGATTGATGAACGGAGACGTGGTTCGATCGTTGCTTTGATCCAACCAACAAGGAGATGGTTATTAGCCACCCAATCTTCAAGAGTTGTGGAGTTGTTGGCTGGTTTGGGAATAGTCCCATCGATGAAGCCGAATTTTTTGCGAGAGCTTAACGCCATACGGAGATTGATGGCCCAATCATCATAATTGGTGCCGTTGAGAAGAGGATGGGAGATCACAGCTCCAGGATTGTCACTAGAAGAGAGATCGTAAGCAGAGATTCTTTTGGTGGAAGGTTTTGATGATGGAGTTTGAGGAGGAGAAACCATGATGCGTGAGTATGCTTGCGAGGGCAAGCTTCAATGATGATTGCTTGATGAAGAAGAAAACCAAATCTCACGAGGGTGAGAGACGGCGAGAGTAAAAGAGAGGTAAAAAAAATTAGGGTTTATTGTTTTAGCTCTGATACCATGTCAAATTGAATGGAAGAGAATTCTTGATGTTATTAGGCTCTAAGGCCAAAGTATTTATACATGAGTTTGAGCTTATCTAATGAGGAAATATAGCAATTTTGGAATTATCAACTTAAGGAAAATAAACTTATTCTAATAGACAAAACACATGAAAATACATCAATCACAACAGCACTTTCAAGTTTTATTCACAAATCTGATATATAGAAAATCAGATTTTTTTAAAAAAGGTTACATAAGGTATAAAATACACTTAACTTGTACTTCAACTTGTGCAAGCGAAAAACCAGAGTCGATATCCTTATTTGGATTCAGCATCTTAAGAAGGCGTCTCTCACCTTCCATGCAATGCGCCTTGTGTAACATCTGATGGTTTAGATTCTGTAATATAGTAAAAGAAAAATCTGTTTGTATAATTTTATGAACATTAATAATTACAGATCAAACTGAGGATGTGATCACGGTTTCTAACATGGATATTAATTTCTCGTTCCCCAGACGAAAATGATACAACAGCCTTCTTATCACGATATGCGTTGTTAGCAAAAGTTAGTTTGTCGAGCACCATTTTATCGGGGAAATTTGATCCAAAATTCACCACCGGCTCGTAATCCTCAATTGGTCTCCATCTATGATTCAAGTTGTATTCTAGTCCTGATATGTACTGTTCAAGAACAATCTGTGCTTCAGAGTAACATTCACCAGCTTAGTTAATTTGATCCATAATTAATCCATAATATTATATATATATATATAAAAAGATAATTAACGATTTCACAACATATATACCGTTTTCTCTCTGAGTTCTTTGTCGATTTGAAGCATTTGTTGTTGCATTTCTTCTACCATCTTCTCATTCTCTTCTATTGACTTCACGTAGTGGTATTGATTCCTCTTGGGTCCAACAAGATCATGATGTCCTACATTTCGACTAGTTTTCTTTCTTCTGGTCTTTGCAACCTCCATAGCCTCTGAAAAATTTAGGTTGAGAAATGGAAGAAAGGTTTTTGAATAAAGGTTGACAAGAAGAAAGTAGCTTGAGTTTATAATGAAGAGAGTTGAGACTTTGATATAAACTAAGTTGTCTCTCTATACAATTTTAAAAATTTACTTATTTGGAACTTGGTTTGCACTCCAAGGAAGTTGACCATTTGCCACCTTTTTATTTGCTTAGTTTAATTCAACCACCCTATAAAGTACTCCGTATTTGATAAGTTGAGAAATATCTACAAGCTTTATATATTTTTGCACATATTGGAGTAGATTAAATTCGAATGAATAAACTAATATATAGTCTCATCACAAGATATTATTATATGAATGAATCTCTTGCGATTTAAAATAAACAACAAGGAATAAAGTTCTCAAATTCCATACAAATATGGAGCAATCTTCATGAGAGGCTCGAGGGTGCTCACATGAAACTTCCTCCCGAAAAGAAAACACACATTCGTCACCTCACCTTCGTAGCTACAATTCGACCCGAACCGGATCCGGTCCAAGAACCCGACTCGAATATCTTTCCTCACAAACCTCGCTGGATGGGACCCACCCCTTGACCAATCAACCCACGTCACTGTCCGGTTCGAATTCATCTCCGGACAAATCTTGTTAACCAACGTCGGAAGGTAATGCTCGTCGATGTAACACGGCGGCCGGCAGTGATCCTTAAAGACTGCGTAGTACCGGCGATCGGAGACAATCTCGGCGGCGACTCTACGTGAAATTTCGAACCACTGGTTTCCTTTCCGCCAATCAGAGAGCGACACGTGTGGGAGCATTTTAGGGGTGTAACGGCCTCGTCCCATGGGCCTTGGGTCGTCAAATGAGCCGAGGAAAGAGCGAGTGGAACGCGTGAGGTAAGTGTAGATTGTAGTGAAGTTGAAGAGAGGGATACAAGTCTCGGAGAGGAGGACGAAGCGTGCGTTGGAAGGTTCTAGTAGGGCATGAGATAAAAGACGCTTCTCTGCATCCATCATCGACGATTTTCCCCATTCAACGGCCTACATTAATGTTTTACAAATTTCAAAGTATCTCAATGTTATCTTGTAAAATACTATAACAGCTAGGGACGAGAGAGGTATCGTTAGACTAACATTATAATACGGTTAATTTTGGGATAATATGTTAACCAACAAGGCAACAAAACCTAATTAATGAATGTAAATATATAATCATACCTTGCTTGGTATCCGTTTCCTGTAAAATACTGAAGATTCCGGCGGCTCTGCAGTGAACTCCGGGGAGGTATGAACATAGATGGAATAAAACCCTTCATGACCTTTGAAGAACATTTCCCAAAGAGGGGACAACGGCAAATTCCACCTCGTTAGAAACATGAACGCAACCTTTGGATGGGTCTCATTCATCATGGCGCTGCGTGGGGCCATCGCTGCTCGCCACATCAGCTCTTCGTCTGCCACGTCATTACCAGAGCTGCGAGGAGGACGAGAGAGGGAAGGAGAAGTGAGAGGATTTGATGAGACAGTGTGATAATCTTCGACGAGGAAGAGTGATGTTTGGAGGCGTTGGTTAAGGTAAAGAGCGAGGAGGATGACGAGAGATGAGACGGAAGAGAAGAAGACGACGGTGCCGAGGATGTGAATGTATCGGAGACTTATCGGTTCTTTCTTCATCCGTAAGTTGAGTTCTCGTACAAAGGTTGTAATCTTTTGCTTCTTCATTTTCCTTTCTTGTATGTGTTAATTTTAGTCTTTCGGTCTTTGGCTTGCTCTACGTACGTCGTTGAAGTCCTCTTTAATTTGTGTGTATATATAGCGCATGCATTATATATATATGCATGATAATGTGTGTCCAAAGTGGTACTTCATATATTTTTAAACGACCGTTTTGGCCACAAAATAAGCCTATAAAGGGATCGAAAGTTTCACAATCAATTATGTTGGCGGTAGAAGACAAGATATTATATGTAATTCAATACTCAGGCCGTCAGGCGGCTTTGTAAACCTATAGCCAATAGGCATGATCATCATGTTATGTGTGATGTGTATATATGATGGACGTGCATGGTGTGAGAGGAAATATGCAAGAGAATTGTGGGTTTAGTGAAACGTAATGATCTAGTAAAGTGAAAAAGAAGAGAAGAAGAGCATGGAATTTGCGGCAATGTTAAATTATGGGTATTGCTAAAAAAGTTTTAAATGTTAAATAGGAGATTAATAAAAGAAGCCATGCGTGCCTACATGATGGTGGGCTGGTGGTAAGGCGGGCCCAGGGTGGTTGGGTGTAACTCTCTCCTTCCCATGGTTCGATTCTTTGCTTCTGCTGTTATCAGCATTATTGTGGGAAGTCTGTCAGTTGGACTTTGGTCCAATTGGTTTACCTGGTAGTCAGAAATGTAGGCGGCCTGACTACCCCTGACACTTAGTCGGAAGGCATTCCAAACTCGGGATAGGCAGAGTGGTAGCCCGAAGGGCCTAGCCGTTAACACGGTGGACAAGTCCACTATGTAGCACCTTGGTGCGTTCCTACCGGGGCCGACCGGATAGCCGATAGGGTTTATCAAAAAAAAAAAAAAAAAAGCCATGCTTTATGTTTTTTTTTACCTTAACAAAACTTAAAACTTGGAAGGGCTCAAAACCCATGTCGTATTTAATAAGCCCAAAAGGCTTTCAATGTGAATAACGAACAAGACTTATCAACCAATTCCAATATTTTACAAAAGCTGGCTTCATCTTCTAAAAAGTTGTATCCGAATTTTGCTCCTTCGTAATTTTACCCATCTTCCTAATCTTCTCTCTCCGTGTTGACTCTTGAGGAGGCGATCCTACAACAACAACGCCGCGATTCTCTGGGTAAGTAGTCATACGATTTCAGCTGATTTTCCAGGATGGTTTCAATTTTGGTTTTCTGCAGAAAATATTTGATAGATTGTGTGTCCTCAATCTGAAAATTGCTGCTAGGTTTCTGTTTGTTATGCCTAATTAGATTTCTGATAGGCTCTTTCAATTATTAAGCTGAGTTGTTGAATCTGGATTTTGCAGAGATTTGTAGCTGAGCTTGTTGTTATAAAGCAAGATACTGCTTGCTCTACGGAATTTAGAGATGCCTCGGGACTTGTCAAGATCGAGGTCACCGTCTCCATCACCTTCACGTCGCCGAAAGCACTCGAGGTCTCCTCTAAGGCTTAGGCATAGCAGGAGGAGTAGAAGAGACAGAAGCCCTTCTCCATACTCATCTCATTCGTATAGCAGGTGATACCCGTAGTATTTCTGCCTCTATTCGTTTACATTAGTTATCATTGGTTTATACGCGAAAACAATTGTAAGAAAGAATTGGTGGAACACTGTTATTAGATATGTAAAGTGTACAGAGTTAAGATGATATCATCTGATCTTATCAATTGCTTTTCCTTAAGTTCCTACTTATATATATTGTCTACCCTTCTCTAAAAGAGAGTGCAATGTCTGGATTCTTCTGGCTCTCTATCGTAAGCATTTTTTGAGTGATGGTTCTTATTGGAGATATATCGTATCTATTTGGCTGTTTTGAGCTGTGCTTAAATTTGTGGTAAGAGATTATGTTTTATGACCTGTGCTTTGCGGTTTTAGGCAATGAAACCTGTATATTCAGTAAAGACGTAAGTTTAGCTGGGATATTAGCACTACTGATATTCTGATCTAGTTTATATTCTAGCTGTATGTCTAGATGGCGTGATTATTTGTTAGGATCAGTTTTAAGAGCAACTTTTATGTTCTTTTAAATGGAGTTTGTTAGCAATCAAGATAGAAAACCACCACAATTCCTTAGGTAAGATAATATAGTAATTTGTTGAGAACATGACTGAGAAGCTAGGAAAATGATACATGCTCTTACCATTATAAAAAGCTCAATTTCTTCCCCTTCCCACGGGAGGGGAAATGAGCAGCTGATGGATTGCTGTTGGGTGTTCTTTCATTGATCCCTTGTCTCGTTAGCTTCTTCGTGTGATAAAAGTTGGAGCTGATTATTCTTTACAGTGTATGAGGTAACTGCACATACTTTTGTTTTCTTTATGTGAAACTGTGGGCTACCTGATGCCTAGTCTTCACGTGCGTGGTAGTTCATTAGTTGCATATTTTGCTTACTACTTTATTTTGGGTAATGTACAGGCGAAAAAGTCGCTCTATTTCTCCTAGGCGCCATCGAAGTCGATCTGTTAGTCCTAAGAGACGTTCTCCAACCCCAAAACGTTACAAAAGACAAAAGAATAGGAGTTCAACTCCATCTCCTGCAAAAGGATCTCCTGCCGCAACCCTTGAGTCAGCTAAACATAGAAATGGAGAAAAACTTAAAAGAGAAGAGGAAGAGCGAAAAAGGTAAATCAATACAAAACTTTAAGTAAGATGGATGTTCTGGTGAAATTAAGGTTTTCTTTTGTTCTAAAATGATATTCTAGTGTAGTGTGGAAATCCTTGATTGTTAGTCTTAAAAAGTGCAACATATTTCATGGTATTCTCTCACAGGCTTCGCTTATGGACAATAAGCTATATTTCGACTTGTTCATATTTGATCCTCTGGCACAAATGTTCGTACTATCTTGATTTGATGAGTTACCGTGAGTCATTACATTGATCATGATTGAGTTAGAGATGTAAATATGTCCAAAGCACAAGAATTAATCTTGGTGAAGGTTTGCTTGTGTTATGGTGATAAACAATATTTCTTCACGAAATTTACCCTTGGCGTTGGAAGGAGTGAAAACAGAAACGATCTCAACAATTTTTCTTGGATTTGGAATAAATTTTTGGTTCTTTTGCTGTTCAAGATTGAAGACATCAAGAAATGAGAAAGTCCAGGTGATATTCAAGGTTCTTAATCTGCTGTGGATGTCCTCTAATTTTTCACTATATTTGCTACCAGGCGACAGCAGGAAGCGGAACTGAAGCTAATAGAGGAAGAAACAGTAAAACGGGTTGAAGAAGCTATTCGAAAAAAGATCGAGGAAAGCTTACAGTCTGAGAAAATAAAATTGGAAATTCTAACGCTGTTGGAGGAAGGGCGAAAGAGACTTGATGAAGAAGTCGCGGCTCAACTTGAGAAGGAGAAAGAGGCTTCTCTTATTGAGGCTAAAGAAAAAGAGGTAATGTTTATGAGCTGCTTTTTTAGACCTTCGTTTTCTAGGTGAAGATTTTTGAATACCTTCGTACACAGTGACATGGTTCGAAAACACTTTTCTTGTGGCGTGTTAGAATGAATTCGAATTGCTTATGAAATTTGGTATCATAAATCTGTCCATTATGGAGCATTGTTGAAAAGAGATCCTTTGTTTCAGGGTGTTATGCGGTGTTTGTCGCAGGAAAGAGAGCAACAAGAGAAAGAAGAGAGTGAGAGAATAGCGGAGGAGAACCTTAAGAGAGTGGAAGAAGCTCAGAGAAAAGAAGCAATGGAGAGGCAAAGGAAAGAGGAGGAGCGGTATCGGGAGCTCGAGGAGCTGCAGCGACAGAAAGAAGAAGCAATGCGAAGGAAGAAAGCGGAAGAGGAAGAAGAACGTCTCAAACAGATGAAACTTTTGGGTAAAAACAAATCACGCCCTAAATTATCTTTTGCCTTAAGCTCCAAGTGAATGCATGCATGAAGATAAAAGGATTGTAAAGGATGATATGCATTTTCTTCCTCTCAAAGATGCTTTATGATTATTTTTATTATAGTGCTTCTTGTTGGAGCTTAAACTCTTCTATGGCTTTTAATTTTTTGTAATTCTAGTTTCTCGTTTGTACTTTTACGTTAGGTTAATGGTGATGAATGATAATATAGCAAAAATGATTCAGAAAATTCATCACTCTATCACCAATATGTAACCATCCATCCTTGCTTACATAGTAAAAATCCTCACATATTTTCTTATTATATATATGAAAATTGGGCAAGCGTGAAAGTCGAGAAGTTAACAAATTTCTAGTTTAGTTAAAGAAGTCTTGAGATTTTGGTTACTGCATTGTTGGTTACATTGTTGATAGTCAAAATTGGAAAGAAGCTGCAACTAAAGAGTAAAAAGACCAAGGAGCAGGAGAAACAAAGAAAAAAAAATTGAGTAGATTTTACATTAGTAGAAATGAAACTAAGCTTGTAACAAAGAAAAAAAAGACCAAAGAGTCAAAATTTTCAGCTCTTTTAGTAGTAAATCAGTCATATTCTTATAGTTTTACTTTACATTAGTTCTGAACTTCTTTTTTTTTGAATGAAACTATGCTTGTAAGTTGTAACTAAAATAAAATGTTCTTGCAAATGGAAGGGTAATTTACAAAAACTAGATTTTCTCAGGTTACTTATTTACTTAGGTCTCGGAGGGTAAATTTGACCTAAAGACTGTTTAGGGTTTAGGGTCTAGTTTTTATACACACGCTTCCACAAATAACGTAGGTATAAAAAGGAAAATAAAACTTAAACTCAACAAGTCCCTCCCAATTTTTTGCGGCAAAGATTCTTTCATCTATCAAATTTATTGCTCCGCGATTCTTGGCGATCGAAGATTCTTGACGATACACATCACCAACGACCATGAACATTCAAAACACAGTGTTTTACAATCCAGGTAACAATATCAAATCTCCTTATATACGATTTAGATTGAGGTTCCGGCGAATCCGCAAGATTCGGTTTCGGATTAGGTAACAAAGATGCTCGTTAAGGTAGTAAGGATTTAAAGGCTTGGCGGGATTTGAAATAACCCTAATTTAGACGAGTGATTATGTTTCAGATTCGGAAACACCGAAATTGACAAATCATTACTTGGCGCAAAACCCTAATTCTGTTTTACAAGAATCTATAATCCATCCATAAACCCTAATTTAGCGAGTGATTGTGTACTAGATTGGGAAACTATGAAATTGACTGATCATTACTGCCGCAAAACCCTAATCCTGTTTACAAGAATCTTAGAACCATCTATAAACCCTAATTTAGTGAGTGATTGTGTATCAGATTCAGAAATATGAAATAGACAGATCATTACTGCCGCAATACCCTAATTCGGTTTTATAAGAATTTAAAAAACCATCTCTAAACCCTAATTCTTCAGTTTAGGGTTTGTTTGACTATTCCCTTTGTTGTCAGGTGGACACCGCTTGAACAATATCTTAGCCTGGTCAAGGCTCGCCTGGCTGACTGCAGAGGATGTTGATGGTTTGTTTGAGTTCTTCACTGACTTCCCACTTACTCCGAACGGCGATATCCCTGCAAACACAGTCGGACTGTTCAAAATCGGCGTAGGCAGATTCGTTGACAATAATGAAAACTGGATTCATGTTAATGATCATAATAATCAACAAACTCTAAGCCATACATTGGTAAGTATACCAATATTGAACTTTCTTTTGTTGTTTCATAATCAACTTGCTTTACTCACCTTGCTTCTCTCTGTTTTCTTGGCAGCGGGCTGGGGCTATATGGTTTAATTACACTGAGAGCCAGATGGCTCCCGTTAATGGCTTCGTCTTCACTAAGAGGGTTATCAGGAGAAGGGGGCTTCATCCAGACTGTCACTTAGTTCACTACCTAAGAGTCCCCCAATAATTCTTAGATATGTTGAGCTACCTAGCTAGACACTCTTAACTGCTAGCTTTTTCATGGGTTCTCATGCTTTTTGGTACGATCAAAACAAAACAGTGTAAGTGATCTAGATATCTAGATCTGCTTTCCAGTGCTAGTACTGTTATCAGGAGGTCTGAGCATTGGCATTCAGCTTCACATTAGTACACTATAGTATTAATGTGATATAACGTACCTAAAGACTTTTTTCCTGGTGTATTAAACTGAACATCAAACCTATTAGCTAGGCAACACAGTTTCCAAATCAAGAGTCTCAATCAAACAGCGTCATAGATTTTTTGTTCCTTACCCTTTGACCAAATCAGCAACTCCTCCTCCAAAAGTTTTGAGGATACAATCGTCCATGGTATCGCAAAGAAGTCCAGCCACAACAGTTAGCTACGATATTAGCCAATAAACAGAGTAGTCTCAACGCAAATGTTGAAGGTAAGGCTCACCGCTAGGCTCTCATCTGATTACACAGATCAAATGAAAACACTTCAGTCACCAAATTCTAAAGAACATCCAAAACCAATCGATATTCATGAAAAGTATTGATGAGATTGCTCTTCTACCTGTTCTCTATGAGCTTTCTCTGCTACGAATCTTTGAAGATTATGTGTGCAAGCGATCTGAGTTTTACGCGCCGTATTGTGCTCTAGCAAAAGTTTGCTCAGTTGGGTAAGCTTAGATGAAGATTTCTCACGAGCGGAAACTTGATGCAACAACAGGAGGCTGGACCATAGCACAGAGATTTTTCCCGGAACTGCAACAATTCTCCAAGGAACAAAAAGGCTAAGTGAATACGCCAACATTATTCCAATTATCACAGAACACTATAGCACAGTATAAATCAGCCATTTTTACTGTTAGCATAAAAGAGTCTGTTCATAAAGTGCAACGGATGAATTAGCCAGCTAAACATGTCAAACCTAATCCTACTCTCATATTTTGTGGAGCTATCTCAGTGATATATACCTAAAACAACCAAGTCAGTTTACAAGATATACTGGAAGGCGTTATTTCAAAAGGAAACAAAGTTCAGTATTACAGTGTAAGAGATGAATCCCAGCGCCAAAGCGTTCTAAAAGTCTCCACATGTAAAGAAAAGAAGTATCCTACAAAACCAGAATGATGTAGAGGGTTAAAAGTGGCCATCTGACGTTTGAAGAAACTGGAGAAGAGGAAAAAACTCACCTTTGCAAAATGATATGCAAAGATATCCAGTGATGATGGGAATTGCAGCAGTAATCAGACTACTCGCCAGTGTATTCTAGGATCTGATCACTAGCAGTTGCACCAACGATAGCACCCACATTGGACAAAGAACAAAACACAGAGTACTAAACATGGAGCAAGAGATCAAAGTCAGATAGCAATTAAAGAGGTGATGATAAAAACGAAGACAGCTCTAGACAGAAATGGGTCTATGATTACCTTGAGGATTGCAGCTAAATCAGTATACTCTCATATATCAATTAAGAAGGATATAACTACCCATCACCTCTAGTAGAGGTTTTGAAGTTCATTTGCTCCTCAAATTTCCCTGAAATATTTCAAGAACTTAGTGATTACGACTTATGAAATCAATACAAAGTTATGTACGATTGCTGTGATCATCTAATAACTTGTTAAAGCACTGGTCTGACCTTGGTTTTGGTTTTTAACCTTCTTCGTCCAGAGAGTGAGATGCAGTATTTGAAGCCATCTCCGTGTCAATTGGTAGAGGAAGTACACCTATAATCACAAACATAGTGCAGATAGGGATTTAAGAAAAGCTCAAAAGACCAAACAATTATGAAACTAGATTTTTTTTAAAAAAGAACAAATTTGAGGCTACCAGATGCGATCAAGGCACAACATTTGCCACTAACAAAAGGTTGTTCGAAAAGAAGCAAAAGCAACAAGATAACTAAAACTACAATTCAACTTTCAACCATAAAAAAAGGAAACCTGACAGTATCTATGAAAGAAAGACTCACTATGTTATTATTGAGGCAGGACACCCAGTTTAATCAATAATATTTGGACCTGTAATAGATTCCAACAGTAATAGAGGATGACAACTCTAGAACACACAGGCCAAACTTTTTTGTATACGGATAAGCCAGGAATTGCCGAAGTGCACCTAAGAATGCTACGAAACCTAGGGAGATTATAGATACCGCAAAAGTTCAAATTTTGGTATGCAAAAACAAAAGCTTCTTTTTTTTTGCTTTCTCAAATCACGAATTGAAACAATTTCAAAGCGTTCACAATCAAATTTCATCAAATACCAAAGCACATACGATCAGACAATTGGATGGTAATAATAATAATATAAAACCTTTGATAAAGTGATTAGGCCACCTTCGAGCCGATTAGATTGAAATAAATTTTTCTTCAGCGATCGGATTCGCCATCAGCTTAGTGATTCCTTGAGTCTGGGGTATATGAACCCATAAAAATTATCCGGAGAATACCAGAAGCGATGCTGAAGCTAAGATCCTTGATCCGATCATGGCCTAAGGACGAAAATTCCTCTACTCCGCTTGAGATCTATCAAGCTTTTTTTTTCTTCTCCTTTTTTTTTTTTTTTTTTGGCCTTTTTCGATTTTCATTCCTTGAAACGACTTGTTGTTCTGTCTTCGTCTGATAAATATCTCTAGTCTGATTTTAGGTTTCGGTCGTCGTGTAGGAATATACGCATATACCCTTTTATCGATAATTACTGACTTTTTTTTTTTTTTTTTGTTTTAGGATCAAGACGATAATTACTGCTATACTGCGTATATTTTTGTTTCCATAAAAAATTTTATTTTCTATTTTTATCTTTCTTTTACTTCCACAATAAAACAATTAAAACGATTAATCACGTATTTTCTGGTTATTATACGTAAAAATTGGGCAAACGTATATTTTTTGTTTCCATATAATTTTTATTTTCTATTTTATCTTTCCTTTACTTCCACAATAAAACAATTAAAACGATAATCACGTATTTTCTTGTTATATAATATGTAAAACTTGGGCAAGCGTGAAAGTTGGGAGGATTTTTGTGGTTTAGTTAAGAACTCTTATAACTTTTTCGTTAGAGCATTTTTTGTTACAATGACGACGATGTCTGATCTTGACGAAAATATGGTAGCTGAGATACTTTGCAGGACTCCGATGACATGTCTGAAAACAGTGCGATCTATTTGCAAAAAGTGGAATACTTTATCCAAAAAATGGGTTTACTTTGGTAAAGCGAAGCAGTTTCTTGGATTCATGATGATGGATTCAAGGGTTTGTTCCTTGAGATTCGATCTCCGCAACGACAGCTTCGAGCCACCATCTATAAAGCAGATAAGTATACTTGATCAAATCGAGGTATCTAAAATCTTTCACTGCGACGGTTTATTGTTATGCGTAATCAAAGATGACACGAATAAGCTCTTGGTCTGGAATCCTTATTTGGGGCAAACGAGGTGGATCCAACCCAGACAGAGTTTCCACAGATTAGACAGTTATGCTCTTGGACATGACAACAACCGTAACCACAAAATCTTGAGGTTTGTGGATGATATCTTACCTGTCAAAAACGTGGTTTTCGGGTACGAAATCTACGATTTTAGCCTTGATGCATGGACGGTTCTTGATGTCACTCCCGACTGGCACATAGAGTTTTTTCAACGTGGCGTGTCTCTCAAGGGAAACACTTACTTTTTCGCTAAACAGAGATTAATATTTGAAGGAGAGGGACCTGTAGACATAGATATAACAGAGACCGAAGACTTTTTACTCTGTTTTGATTTTACTGCTGAGAGATTTGGACCGCGTCTTCCTCTTCCTTTTCACTCTTATTTCGACGAGACTGTGACTCTATCTTGTGTTAAAGAAGATCAGCTCTCCATCTTATACCAGCCCTTGGTGCCATATGAGATCATGGAGATTTGGGTTTCCACTAATATTGAGCCCAATGCAGTGTCCTGGAGCAAGTTTTTGAAAGTGGATATGAGACCACTCACTGGTTTTCAGTTTGACGTTATGGCTGGGAGTTTCTTCATTGACCAGGAGAACAAAGTCGCCGTGGTTTTTGATCTTGACCCATATCCACAATCCGAGACTCGTCGCTACCAAACAGCTTACATCGTTGGACAAGATGGTGGATACTTCAAATCTGTTGATATCGGAGAAGCTCCAAATATCATGACACGTGACAGCTACGGATATATTGGCCCCATGTATTGTGTCCCGCTTGTGTGCTCCTCTTATGTTCCAAGTTTAGTGCAGATAGATTAGCTAGTTTCATTTTTTTATAATTTTGTTTCTTGCCTCTACTTTTACTTTCTTTCGTTTTTAAAATTTCATGTCCTTTTGAACAAGACTGCTGTCTACTGCGGCTAATTAATTCCTCCTAATCTGTTTTTGCTATTTTCATCTCCTTGCTAAACGATAAATTAAGCTTTAGTTTAGTTTGGCTAAAGTAGTAGAAGATGCAGAGTTGGATTGTGCTTCTGGTGACATGAATCTTTGATTCAGAAACTTCCATAAATACTATATGTGCTTGGCTAATGGAAATGTAAGATCGACCATTCAAAAAGACGCTGGAAACATTCTCACCTTTGGCGGATATGATCATATCAAAATTACAAACATTTTTACTTATGAGATTTTTGAAATGTCAATGTTACATCACGGATGTGTAAAAGCATTGAAAAGAAAATTGTTAATCCTACCTTTCTTCTGGGAATACCTTGTGTAGAAAATTGACAAAGCGTTTTGAGTAAATGGAAGGTTCGGTCACAGATATTGTCATCGGATCATACTGCAAAGACTTGCAAGTATGTTCCACTTTCTTCTTGGTGTTATACTCCTGCAAGATATCTATGATTCCCATGTACACAACCACATCGTATACTTCAAAGAGCTCAATTGTCGCCGACTCTTCCTTGTCCTCAATAAGCTTGTGATGAGCTTGGGCCGGCATGTTCACTCCTAATTGTACCCGCAGCCTAAAACAATAGATCCAATGACATTGTTCAGCTATAAGTACCGGTCAAATGAAGAAAGCAAAAGAGGAAATAAGCAACCTTGCAGTTCCGGGAAGAATAAGATCAACTTCCTGCTCGCCAACAGAAAATGCTCTGAGTGTGCTTCCTCTAATGTGAGGACCCGGTGCAGTATTAACGGAATTGGGTTCATGAGTTACCAAAAGCAATCCTTTTGGTGGAATGGAGAGTTCCTGAGCCAAACCGACTGAAAGAAAGAAAAAACGCGAAACGGTAAGTTATATACATGCCCCATTTCTTCATTTCTCAGTTGTGTAATGATCTTCTAATATAAAGACATGAAGTGGCTTGAAAGCTTGTCGTTAGGATACTGACTGATAGAATTCAAGCTCACGGCTGAATTACCTAAGCCATCGAAAAACTTTTATGTGCAAAAGGTATCCTCTTGAACCTACCGTCTACAGAAGAAACGCTTTCTTGATCTGACATTGCATTTGGAGGCTCAAGGATATCATGAAGTTGTCCAGGAGCTCTAAAATGTAATCCCAGTAAAAGACTGTAGTCAATGATGTTCAGCGATTCCAAGAACGAGCAGTCTAAGTAAATTTGCCTGCCATGTGGGGACAACAAGAAGGTTCCACAAACAATTAGAGACTTTCAAATGCAAAACACAGCTGTTTGATCATTTTTAGAAAGTGTAAATGATTTCAGAAAGCAGATTTATGTAGAAAATAGCCGTGTCACATAAAGCTAGAGGTTCCCTTAGCAAAAAAAATCGATAATCTGTCGTTCAGCTGAGTATAGCATATCTTTCACAACGGAAATGAATCAAACGATATAAAGAAAAAGGTATTGCACTCACTTGAAGAGGGCTTCCCGTAACAGCTTGTCCATATGAAATTCATAAGCTAGATCAAGATCTTTCAATGTGGTCTTCTCTTGGATTTTAATCTTTTCAGTAAATCTCCCTTGAGATGAACCCTTTAGATCATAACGACGATGAATCTTCAATTCTGTGCAAAACATATTCCCCATGACCACAAAGCGTACCTATCAAAAGACCACAAAGCTTATGCTAAAAAAAGTGGAAAAATAATGGAATATAAGCTATAAAAGGGACAAGAGAAGTTCTTACCTTTTTACCCCACTTGAGTGTTATTCTGTGAACTCCAAAAAATTTGGTTATAAGTGTGTTTTCATGATCCCCTACATGTTCATAGTACTTGGGCAACATTCTGAGTAGAACCTAGAAAGAAAAAAAGCTGGATGATTTTAGTCATTAGTATCTGTTATATAGACATTTAGAACGTTACCACCAAATACTAAAGAGTTTAGCAATATAGACATTGTTTGTGTGACATTGCAAGAAGGGCTTACAACATCACTCTAAACCACTACTATTGGTAAAGAAGAGAAAAAGTCAAATCACAGCTTTGTTCAGTTAGTTCAAACCTGCAACTCAGATTTTTTTAATGTCTTGATCACAAATCTGTCGTCGTGAGAAAGGTAGAAGATACTGCCACTTTTCCCGGGGGAAGAAATTTCTGTTAGGCCATCATCACCACAAATAGACATCATGTACTCTGCAGCATCTAACTTGAACATCTGCCGTAAATTCCTGAAACATTACATTGAAAATCACGCACAGTCTATCGATTTAAACAAATAACCACTTGTTTCAAGGTTCCACAAAACATCACGCACGGCTCCAATTTATACGGTTTATCGTTAATTAAAGTACTTTATTTTAGTAGTTTCAAGTTTCAACCCACTGGTTAACGATAGCAGAAAACCCCAGCAAGATCAGATCTTTAAGAAAGGTGTTCTATCTGATCAAAGGAATAACTGAGGGATCACACAGAGCTAACTAGTTCGTAAATTTTACAAAACATTTAACTTGAGATCAGTATCCAAAACTAATATACACATTCAAAGATTATTTACTCTGAATCTAAAGTTCTTTGGTAATCAGCCTGAAGAAAACTGTTTTACCTGAAAACCATAGGACAATAGTCTTTCCAGGAGAAGTCGACAGATTTGTGTGGAGGCGTAAAATTGGAGCCGTCTCTAGGGAAGAACATCTTTGTTCTAGCGTTCTTACCAAAGTCAGAAGCACGCACTTCTCGCCTAGGCACTGGTGTAATTTTTCCAACAGTATACCTGTGAACCTCAAAAGATTGTTGTGTTAGAGGAAGAACTAATTCTAAACCAATCTTAGTGACGTATGCAGTAGATATATACGGCCATCATATAAATATGCAAACAGGTTGTCTCTTGGCCTGTATGCGGGTCTGAGTCTAAAATTAAGCCATATTGCAGAAATAATACTCATAATGTGTCATAGACTATAACAGAACAGTCTTAAGAATCATGAAAATTGAGAAACATATTTAAAAGAAGTGGTTTACGAAAGCTCTCCACCTTGCTAACATAGTAAAAGGAAGTGGCTTAGGGTGTTGATTTAGTTTACCTGATACCAAGTTGGAGATTTAGCATTAGATAATAATTGTGTTCCCCCCTAAGAAAGGTCAGTAAAGACCTGGCCCTGACTTCTTTAGGACGATGTGGAGGTTTAATTTTGTGTGACCTGTCAACAGAACTCATGATAGTTTCTCTAATCAAAACTCCTTGCATGTATTCCCTTTCGTAAACAATACGGTTTCTATCTTGTCCCTCGCTTTGGCCTGAGCCAAAAAACCGTGCAGACTTAGATAACGGCCCATGACATGTAAAGTCTCTTGGAGGATCACAGGTCCTCCAAATTTCATCCGGCAACCTATCTAATACGCTACCCGAATTTTTCGTGGTTTCACCAGCTGAAGTTTTCACAGAAAGACTTTGTGTCACAGTGTTTAAACTCCTTAGCTCTTCAACATTTACTGATGCACTACGAGAAAGTACAAACTTTCCAGTGTCATCATATTCAAGAGAGCGAGACCACTTCTTTAGAGATGGTTGTTTACTTCCAGCAGGATAAAAGACTCCCTTCCCGTCTTTTAGGCCTCTGGACCAGGTCCCATAATATAAACATCCATCAGCAAACTTATAAACTCCAGAGCCATGTCTAAAGCCATTCAACCAAAAACCGTCATACAGATCACCATTCGCCCATCTCATAACTCCTCTCTCACACATCTTACCCTTTTTCCAATTCCCTATGTACCTATTTCCATTGGTCCAAGAATAACTACCACGCCCGTCTTGTAATCCTTCTTTCCACAAACCGTCATATAGATCTGAGTTGGAATACTCTTTCCTGCCAAGCCCATGCCTCACATTCATTCTCCAGGCTCCACTATAGACAGACTCATCAGGTGAGGTCATGGTGCCAAAACCATGAAGGTAACCACCAGAGAAATCTCCCTCATATTTAGCTCCAGATGACCAAATAAGCTTCCCTTTGCCAGAGATTTTGCCTTGATCCCAATCACCCTCGTAGATAGTTCCATCTGACCACGCATACTTTCCCTTCCCATTAGGAAGTAATCCTTTAACTTCACCAGAATAGAAATCACCATTTGGGAATTCTCTATCTCCAGACCTGAGGATACAAAAAGTATCATTTCACTGAAGGAGATAAAAAGCAGGAAGATTGATTAACAATAAAACACACCTCATATCCATCTGGGCTTAGCTTTTGGTGATCCTAGAACATTGTTCCGCAACTTACATATGATTTGTAACCCGTCCTATTGTGCACATGCTACATCCAGATTCTGAATCAAAAAAATTTCCAGAGAATGAATCAATGATGCAGAAACAGACGGACTCTCCTGGAGATTTAATCACTCAAATTCCTCTCAAAGCAACATTTTGACTGAAAAAACCAGAGCCTAAACTTGAGGGTCAACTAAAATTAGGTTCAAGCAATAGAAATTTATGAGTGGCTTGTCTCAAATCCAGTTTGCCCCAGAAAATAAATGCCCATCAAAGTCAGAAAGCAAAACCAGTACTCAATATCAGCATTACGAAGAGATAGCTATTGCGCAGCTCCGTTCTCACTCATTACACAACCAGATTGAGAAAACAAAGAACTAATCTTTAATTTGTGGTTAAGTAAGTAATACACACAAGTAAGAATCTCGAGCTCGAATCTCAGAAGATGACTCTTACAAGTAACAAATTTCATAGATTTCTTGGTGAATAAAAACAAAATCAAGCTCAACAAAATCGGACCTTGATTCGCAGGAAACTTACCCAGATGAAGCTTGTGAAATCGAAGAAGAAAAGCCTTAAGATTGATTAAGCAAAAGCTTTGTTTTGTTGTGTAGAGAAGCTTTAGCTGCTGAGAATTTATTCTTTGAATTTGGTGTTTGCCCATGCACCAAGTTCCATTCAAACACCTTTCTTTCTTTTTTGGCGAATTTATGCTACCTGTTTTTTTCTCTTTCTTTTAAATATTAATAATAATACTTTATTACATTTT